GTAACATGTCTCAATGTCCTTGTGCAGAAATTTACTCTGATCAGTAGAATAAAAACTCTAGTTTCAGCTGTTATTTATGTAAGGCACTAATTGTTATACAAATCATACTCACGCAATTTAAGATACCCAATTTGTATCAGTAATTATATGTTTGCTTTTAAAATTCCAATAATACAGGGTTTAAATTCAGCCACTCACCGGAGCCCATCTCCGATATGTCTAAGTTCTAGAATGAAATTATAATTATAGTTAGAGCCCCACATATGGTGATATGTGGTATTTTTATTTATTATTTAACTTTTTTGTATAATTTAATTTAATTTATTAATTTGCTTATATCATTAAAACCTTATTTAATTAAGCATTATTTATTTACGTACCCAACCGGCCTTCCATAGAGCTCCGACTCTTCTAACGTTAGAAATGAAGCCGTATGTGTTAAGAGTATGTAAGGATTATGTTATTTTTATTAACAGTTAAATTTTGAGTTAAACTTCCTTTCATATCGCTTCTTAATTTCAACTTACCACTTCCGGCCAGAACGTAGTTTTAGAATCACGTCTGAATGCTAATGAGGAAGAGCGGTATTTAACCGCGAAGTTTTACTGTCTTAGTGAGAGAGATACCAGATATTCTTGCTAGCAAGCGTCCGCCTTTTTAGGCTACTCTCTCGTAAGTTATTATTACGCTCGGCCGTACTTTAGGCCCTTGATAGCTTCGCAGTCAATTAGCGTTAAGGGGCCAACTCCGTTAGAATTTTGATAGCTTCGGCTATATCTTTTTAGTTAAGATTAGTTTAGTTTATTTCTTAATCTTTTAAGTTGAAACCCAAGTGTCGGCTTTATTGTGCAACTCCAAGACGGTGTTTTGTTAATCTTTAGTTGGAATAATAAAGGGTTATTTCACCCTTCTCACTTGTTGTTTTCTATCTCATGAACTCAATCAATTATTCGCTTACTAGTTCTTAAGATTCTTCGCATTTAACTGTAACTTAGAAGTACACAGTGGAGAATCCTACAAGAGACAAGCAAAATTAATTTCGTAGATAATATTCTTGATTTCGCAGTTTTAGTCAAATATTTACTCGTGACAATGCATAATATTTCTAACAAAGAGTTTTAAGCATATTCCATTATTATTATTATTATCTATGAAACAGATCAATAATTTATGGAAGAATACTTTAACACAGAAGCCTAATTATTTAGCATTCTCCAATCTTTCTGAACTACCCAGCGTTTACCCGCTTAGTCATGACAGATAGCGCATGCTTACTCATGATACATCAATAATGGGGCAGTGTTTAGCTGCATTATTGGTTGAGTACTTAAACGTCTGAACGTTGGTAGTTCGACCTGTCATTGAACCTTAACTAACTGTTAATAGTATGGATTTTTTCAAAGTTTTCCTCAGAGAACTTGAATACAAGCCAGTTATCCTTAGAATGTTCTCCGTGAAAGCATCTTTCCCCATAGATAGAAATCCCATATGTTCTTTGCCATATTAACATAGACAAACTACAGAGTTCTACATAGAGAATGAGAACTGCACTAGCTATATTTTCGATACAGGGATAATCTACCTCTTAGTGTTGTTGTTTAGCAAGAAAGGCAAAGCAACTAAGTAGAAATTCGTCATAAATTCATACAGTAGCATTAATTTTCTGTAATAAACTTGAAAGGTTGAGTGTTTTCAGACTTTAATAATAAATTTAAATCTAAACATATTACAAATCGTTAAAAGAATTAAAGAAACAATTTACAGGAAATTACTACTTATGATTATTACTACAAATATTTTTTGCTTACAAATTCCACTAACTCAATTTACAGCTTTAGTAAAATATTTCAGTTCGACAAATGAATGACAAAAATTCTATGACAGCAGGTACTTTGTAAGTTCGAACCCTTTTCCAGGAGTCATTTTCTCCCTGTTTACAGATTTTGTAAACCAAGGAAGACTACCCCTTGAGAGAACTTCACGGTTTCAGGGAAGAACGTAGCCTTTAAGTTAGCTCTTAGGGATTTAGTTTGCGTTTATGAACATAAAAACTACTTTTATTCGAATTTTGGCATTTATCAACATTATCTATACCTTATAAACATTTAATTTTTAATCTGTAAAACACATTAACAAATAATCAAAATCTAAATAAATGTATGTATGCATAGTGTCAAAGTCGTAGCTAACTCACATTTCACTTTCCTTTTACCTAGAATTTTTTGCGACAGTTTAGGCTATTTCAGAAAAAAGTTTTTTGCTTTTGGCTAAAATGTAACGCTAAGTTTCAAGAAAGTCGGTATTTTTTCTTTTTGAGTTCTGGCCCTTCCTTGCCTTTAGAATGTAGCATAGATTTTCTTAATCAAAGTAGCATATAAGCTTTATATCATCCACATTAAAAATTGTAGGTTAATATGATTGTCCAATGTTCAGTAATAAAAGAAGGAAATTTAACACAGAAGACTGTAATTCTTGTACACACTGAAGGACCTTTAAATTAATTATATTTAGAGAAGGTAAGTTTTTGCGAATTACTATATTAATGTTTGTTGTAATTTTATAAGTATAACTTACCATGATATGAAACTAAGGAATAGCCAAACAGTGAAGAAAAGTAGTTTCGTTTTGAAATATGCATAATCCTTAAAGTTTGTTTTCATTCGTTATGACCTAAGATTGTAGCATTTCAGACAGCTGTAATTCAACTGTACGCCTTCGAAAATTCTATCTTTATCACGCTCTTTCGTTATATTTATAACTTGCTTCTCAGATTTTCCGAGCTTCTAATAAGTAAAGATCTTTTAAAAAAAGTCTCAGAAAATATCTTACATTTGGACTGCATTTGATCGGTGAGAAGCATCTCACTGCATTTACAGTGAGAAGGTTTACCAGGAAGATTTAAAATTCAATTATTTTTTTCTTTAAAAACCATTTTAAGCATCTTGCATTTCTTCATATTACACAATTAAAGAAATCTAGATTTTTAACATACTTAATGAAGAACTATCGAGTGTCTTTAAAGTAAAGTTTTTCAATCCTTTATGATTCGCCACACTTTTTTCCAGATTTTGGTTTTCTCAGCAACCCCCTACTCTTGAAACAGCGGTATGTTCGGCGTTTTTTGTATATAAACGGTCGGTACTAACTAAAAAACTGAAAAAGCTTCAACATTTAGAGGTATTTATTGCACTTACACGTCATTAAATTATTACTAAAACTCGTCATGCAATACGAAATCAGAATAATAATGATTACTGGCTTCTGAAAGCATTTATAGACTTCAAAGATTACCCATATATTCCTACTGTAGCACTCACAAATGTATATATTGAAAGAATATGCGTACTGAATATCACTGGATATCGCATTCCTAGTCACATTTCTAGAATAGTTGGCTGATAGCATATAATTGCGAATTATTATAAGAAACCTGCATGCAACTTGAATCAATGTAGTATGTAAATAATTGTCTAACATTATTTAGTATGATTCATGCAAATGTGCATGACTATAATATTTGTATAATAAAGTGACTATTTCAATGTTTGTTTCACAAGTGTTGTCGCAACCAAATATTTTTAAGTATTGTTTCAATGTTTGTTTCAAAAGCGATGCTACCAAACATTTTGAAATGACTGTTTCAATGTTTGCTTCAAAAGTGTTGACGCTACCAAATATTTTGAAGTTACTGTTTTAATGTTTGTTTCGAAACTGCTGAAGCCAGCAAAATTTTTCTACTACTCACTTGCTTTCCGGAGACCCTTACCGCACGAACCAATAACTCCCTTCGCCCCCTGAAAAAAAAAAAAAAAAAAAAGAATAGGGATCTCTTTCCACGCCGACCAGTGGATGCTAATGTCCACGCTATGACTTAGATAGAAGAAAGGCTAATACATTTCACAGAATGAGAGCACATTATTTACGTTTGTTTTTTCCAGCAAACCTCTACATTAGATAAATGTGCTTAATAACCTCAAAACATTCTCAGTCGGCTTTCTAACTGAACCAAATACTTATTTTAATTTGTTCCTATAAACCTATAAAAAGAGTTTAAGGAGCTGTAAGAGTCATGGTGCTAATAATGTAATGGTCTGCATATCTCTACATGCATAATACTTCTTCGTGTAATTATATGTTAATATATAACACTTTACGTTGTAGAGACAGTAGGTTATTTCGAAGCAGGAGTCGTGAAAAATGAGCATTGCCCTCGCCAGGACTCTAACCACGGACCTCTCGAATACGCGCCGAGCGTGCTCACCATTACACAACAAAGGCATGCAAAGAAAGCGGGAGAAATACCTTACATACTACTCCTTTTAAAGCATACTGGTGTTTACATACATAGACTGGTGTTTTTAGGGGACCCAGTCGCCAAATCCTGGGTGTAGAGAATCATCATCCACTACCCTTTTAGTTCGGGAGCCACTGTACAGACATTAGTTTTTTTTTTTTCCTTCTCGGGGGGGGGATGCAGGAGTCATGAAAAATAAGCAACGCCTTTGCCGGGAATCGAACCACGGACCTCTGGAATACGCATTCAGCGTGCTTACCACTACACTACTCAGGCATGCTAAGAAAGCGGGAGAAATACCTTATAACGTATTATATTATTATGCTTATAACGTATTGTATTATTATGCGTATATTAAATAATTATACAATGTATGGCTAGCCTCTTGCTTTTTTAACATTACTTGAGACTCATATCTAATGTAATACTTCTACAAATCATTTTTTGAACAAATCATTGCTGTTGCCTAATGTCACTTCTAAATTAAAAGAGTTGTACTAATCTCTTATAACAAAGTTCTTGTTTTCAGTTTAAATAATAGCAATAAAAAATCGTAAAGTAGGTTATTCGCTTTTTGACCTTTGTCAATTGAAATAACTAACCTAAGAATCGTATTTCTTGTATTTTGAAAAATTTAACTACCGCGCAGTCCTGTAACGGAAAAGATTTGAAAATACTTAAGAGATTAAGCATAATAGATACTCACTTTCTCACTAGACAAGTTGGGTGGAACCCAAGAGTAACCTTCAGACAGGGTCTTCTCTTTCGACGTGACATGTCGACTCCGTTCAGGTGAAGGCTGGAACCCGATACGGTCGCACACATTGACGAATTCTTCGTGGCACACATCATGTGCTTCACGTGGGCATTTGCAATTATTACAAACAGTTCTGGAATACAAATGCTCAGTTTTATGGATAGGCACATAATTTACAGAGAATTTTTACGATATCATATCGACATCATATAAAAATTAATGATGTAGGAAGCATATAAACAATTTAAAGGTACAAATATACAAATACATCTTGAAGTAGTGGGAATATCCGATCAATTTAAAGGTAAAACGCCGAGTTGAATTTAAAAAGAGAAAAATGCAAGAGCTGCTTCGATTGTAAATACTTAATCAAGAATTATAGTTGTTTCTAATTGCACTAAAACGAATAAATTCCCTTTCTATGCTCTTTAGTTACTGTACGTACTGTTTCGACTAATTACTGTAGTTACTGTTTCGATTTCATTTAATTTACTTTACTTAGTGGGCTGAGACCCAGGAACAAATTATTTAAATTGTTTTGGAGATGAATTCAAAAATCACCTGTAAGGAATACATTAAAATATAAGCTCTGCTCAGAAAGAAAAATACATAAATAAATATTTTTTAAGATAAACGAATACCTCTTATCATCATACTTAAAAGCTAACATCAAGTAACGTCTTCTATGCATTCGATTTGAAAGAAATTAAGTACCTGAAAGATTCATTGGATAATGTTATTCTTTAATATTACCGAGGCATTTAAAAATGCATTTATATTTTACTATATTATTAGTATTATATTTATATGCATTGTATTTGTTATTTACTATGTTAATTTAAAATGCCTTTATATTATTTTATATTTTATGTAAATAGATTTAGATTTGTATACTCATATATTCTATAATATTATTACTAATATTTTATGTAATTATTATATTATTACAACCACCGAAAGTAAGAAATAAATAAGTAGTCAAGAATTAAGACACAGTACTTAAGTAGTCAAGAATTAAGACACAGTACTTAAGTAGTCAAGAATTAAGACACAGTACTTAAGTAGTCAAGAATTAAGACATACTAAACAAATTAAGAATATTCAGTCTAAGTACACAGTCAAGAATTAAACGAATATTTCTTCCCACCATAATTTGGTACTGACAATAAGTAATGTTTTCTAAGCATTTGATTTAAAAAAAATTAGATATAGGAAAATTTCATTGTGTGTTTTTATTTTTAACCATTGTTGAAACATTTAAACTACATTTATATTTTTTAAATTTTATTTCACAAAAATACTTTGTGACCTTGTTTTTATAAAACTTTGTGACTTTGTTTTTAAATTGTGACTTTGGGACTTTATTAGCGACTTCGCTTTAAAGTTAAGTTTTTGATGTTTAATGATTGTGAAGTGTTTTAATAAAATAAACTAATCACGAGCAAAAATGAATATAAAGTATTACTATAAGAACCACAAATGTCGATGTAACAATTGAAAAAATTCAATTCTTGGTTCTCACTGGCTCAGAATAAAAAGCATAGTGGACTTCGAAAGTGTTTTTTTTCCTCTCTTATCCACCCAATACCCAACTTTCTTTCAAAAGTAAGTTTATCTTGCATCCGAAAATAGCCGGCGTCACTTCTGTCCGGAAATACTGACGGCCTTTCGTTTCAAATCAAAACCAAACAGACTGAATGTTACCAGTTGCTAAGTATAAATGGCTACATCGTACAAAACTGTTGGTCGCCCACTCAAAAAAAAAGACAAACAAAATAATCTTTTGTGGCAAATTAATCCCATAAATGTGCAGTGCAATGCAGACTCACACCACTGGAATGGAAAATTAAAAATAATTTAAAAGGCAAAACATAATCCTTAATTTAGTATATGGAAGAGACGCATGCCAACGGAACAAATAAAGCTAGACAGAAAGTTAACTCAGATTTCCGTCGATTTTCTAAAATATTCTATCCGTTTCTAGCGAGTAAAGCAACAAAGTCCCTTGTATTTAAGAAGCAACATAATTTTCCTTTGTGGGTGAAGCTAAAAGCCAAATAAATTACTGAAATATCTTAATCAAAGTAGCTACTATATATGATGGGTTAACAGAATGGATGTACGCCTGAGGAGTTGCATTCAATACTGCTTCTATTATTGGCCAAAGTTCATCCATAATGCTGCAGAACGCGTGTAACGAGAGAGTTCTCCACCTATGAAATCTCAGACATGTTAAATAGGCGATATGTTTAGTAAATGGGCAGACCAAGGAAGAAGTGGTATCTGGCATGCTAAGAAGGAGTCGTAAACATTTCGTACACGCGAGAAAACATGACCTATAAGGAATATGAATTCAGAAATCACGTATAAGGTGATGCTCATGCAGCAGCCCGTTCTCCAGGATTTAGATCTTCGTCGAACTACTAGTATTCAGGGATTTGACCAATGGGCCACGGGTAAGCCCTTCGCATCAGGGAAATTCTGCGCAAATACATGTTCGAATACACGGTATAATATTAGTTGCCGGTTGCTGTTCTTGAAACTGACAATGACATACCTACAGCAACGCTCCCAAGATGGGACAGCTGTCAAGATGAATCTGCATTATCCACCACTATTTATTAGGTGGATGAGGGCCTGTCGTCCGGTGCTAACGTGACATTTTATGGTCCATGTAAGGTCTGTGACCTGTCTGGTTCTCTTGAGCCCAACCTTTTTCACACACGCAGAAATTATCCCCAATACCAGCTGTGACATCATGATAGAAAATTCCTTTGTCTTGCAGTCCAAACATTCGTCATCCTTCAAATGGCGTAAATCTCATATTCGGCCTTTTATCGTCGACGAGACGTAGTGACTTCTTATGAAAAGTTTACCACTGGTAGATAATGAAACACTTTTAATGTATTTCATTATCTACAGCTGTTTATACAGCTAACACAATAGTTTGGAGAGAGCTGCCCAGCCGAAGCATCCTGGAATTCAAATCATTTGGATATCATACCCAGCTTTGCATTTCCTGTAACGTTCAGGTTATTTGCATGATTCCTTCATAATGCTGCAGTTTTCACAAATAAGAAGTGCAATTTAATTTTGTTTTTCCCTTTGAGGCTTTAATTATTCAACACTTTTCAAAATTGTAATCTCCAGTCTCGAAGCATTTTTCAGACAATGGATCAAAATCTGATACTCTTAAAAGCCATCTTTCCATAACTATCTAGCTATTCCTGTGTTGCCTGATGACGTCGCTATCCTCCCCCTTTCTTAACATAACTGTCTTTTTTCCGGACAGGAGACTTCGAGAACAGATGTAGCTCGAAACATTTATTCCCAAGGATCCAATGAAAAGGATTAGATGTATGTCTCAGATAGAGTCAGATGGGAAAGATCATCTTGCTCGAAACTGTTGCAAACGATGAAGAAGCCTGTACAAACTAAAGGCAACAATATTACCTGAGCTCTTAAAGAAATTAATTTTAAAGAGCTACATAAATTGTTTCTATAAAATTATACAAATACCCCAAGTTTCTTTTACAGGGAAATCTTCATAAAGTAAATGTCGAGGTCATAGAATCATTAACATAATTAATTGTCTCTCTAAAAGCTATTTGCTATTCTAAATAGAGTCAGAATTACCATTAATATTCTAAAACGGAATTGAACCATACAATGTTTGACTAAATTTTAGTTACGAATCATCAGAAAATACATACTATTTTTTCAAATCAGATATTTTACAAACTTTAATACCAAATTGTTTAGAACAGGAGTTCTCAATCGAGAAAGGGGGGATTTTATAATTTCAGGCGGAATGCAGTCAGCCTCTTATTTAGCTGTTAAGTATTTAGTTTTAGTTTATGAATATAAAAAACTATTTTTATTCAAGTTTTGGTATTTATCAACTTCTCCTACACTTTTTATTGATTTATTTATAAAAAAATAACTTTAAAAAACCATCTATGTATATATTTATTTTTCGAGGTTTGGAGAGGAGATATAGAATGATCATTTAGCAACTGTTAAATGAGGTACATGGCTCAAAAAAGGTTGAGAACCACTGGTTTAGACCATTAGGCATTTTTATTTTGGAACTGAACACGTGAAAAATATGCTATACGCTCGCCGAGTCTCAAATTCCGGACCTTCCGACTGCTGACCATACCACCTTTCTAAGCTCTCGTGGGGTTGAATTATCGTCCACCACCTTTTAGTTTGAGTGCCGACTTGTTGAAACCATTAGGTATATTTTTTATAGCAGAAGACAAGAAAAATGTGCAATGCCTTAGCCGTGACTCTAACTCAAGGGTCTTAACGATTGCTTGCCGGATGTGCTTTCCATTTACACCGCGACGCACGCTGTGAGAAGGGAGAAAATCCTTGCAAAATGGTATAAATAGATCGTTAATCTGTTTTCAAAGGAATACAAATTATGAATAACTCAAAGTATTGGTACGTCAGAAGTTATGCCAAATATTCCACAGTTCTTGGAACTTGAATTAAGGCTATATCTATGCCCAGAATTATCGAGATGATTCGATAATTAGTTGTGAGAATTATTGAGAAAGCCTAGTGATCTGATTACTTCAAAATTCCGTTAAATGCCCCTAGAAAGTATACCTAAAGAGCGCGACATTCAAGGTCGTCATGAAGTGATACAGAGGTTTAGATACAACTGAAATTTCAGATTCATTCTATTTTATTAAATGCTTCTGTTGGGGCTCAGTGAAAGTAATCTTAGCAATGTTTCAAGCTAAAACGTTTAAAAATTTCTTAAGATTTCAAAGCTTCGAATGATGAAAAATCGCTAAGATTCGAGTGCTAGAATTCCAAATCCATTTGAAGATTCGTGGGAAGTAAAGTTTCGAATTGTCTATGCTAAACCAAATGCAAATGCAATTAATTCATCCAGTTGCATCCGATTAATTAGTTCGATTGTTTAAGGCTAGATTTAATCTCAGTATGTTGGCTTTCGTGTTAGTTGTGCGGGAAAAAGGAAATTATTACTTTTTTAAGGCAACGCCTGAAAAGTTGATAGCTTATCTTAAAATAATTTTCCTGCTTGTTTTTCTGTAATGAGTACTGTTTAGTGTCACTTATTTCATTCTCGTTAAAGGTGTATGAATTAAAAATATG